GATCCCCCCGGCTGCGTATGTGGCGGGGGGGATTCTGGGAGTTGAAGTCCATAGGACTTAAAGTCACCAAGGTTGAGAATTCTGGGAGTTGAAGTCCATAGGACTTAAAGTCACCAAGGTTGAGAAACACTGCCTTAGGAGATAATTTAGCAATTAAAAATAAACCTGGAGACATTGTACTGAAAATAACGTCCACTGAGCAAAGCTCAAATGTTCTCAAAATGCTAAATCTTTTTAATGTGACGATTCTCTGTATGTATCGGTTTTTTATCCTGCTATATCTGCACCAGATAGAGATTCGGTCCATCATTCTCACCCAGCGCATTTCTTCACTTTATGCTGTTTCTTTTTTTCCTTAGAGGAAGAAGAAGAAGATATTTCACTTCTCATCCAAGAAGCTTTATCGGTTCTAGCCCCCACCATCCTGCCAGGACCCATGAAGCTTCTTGGATGAGAAGCGAAACTATTACTTCTTCATCAAAGAAAAAACAGTCTCGGTGCCTTTTGAAAAATTATATTTGAGTCTCCTCTCCCCTCCCCTCCCCTCTTTTACTTCCTCTTTCCCTTCCCTTTACATGCTACTTGTCTCGCTGGCACGCAACTCACAAGATACTGGTTTCTCTATTTCATTAGTTGTTGTTTATTGTACTTCTACATAACAATAATTAATCATAGAACTACATCAATTTTAATAAAATTTGAGAGTTGCCCACATCTTCTTTTTCAGGGCATAGAAGAACACAATCTTTTAGCGGGACATCTCGCCATGTACACCAATAATTTTAATTTAGCTCAGGATTTATATCTGGCCTCTTCTTCTCCCACTGCCGCGCTTGAGGTAAAAGCTTAACCACCACCACCCCTTTAAAAAAATATATACTGTATTGCTTGGGAAAAGGTCGTTGTAATTGGTTAAAATCTGTACTATTTGTGATATTAGATGAGGAGAGATTTGCAACAGTGGGACAGTGCTCTTCAGCTAGCTAAACGTTTGGCACCGGATCAGATCCCCTTCATATCCAAGGAGTATGCTGTGCAGCTGGAATTCACGTAGGTTCTCTTTGAAGTGGCTAAAAATATTTGATGCACCACAAATTTGATCGTTATGTGGTTGAATTAACCATAAGAATCTATTTTCAAGAGCCTCGAATTAGAAAGCCTCACATTCGTTTAATATCTTTACGGAGTCAAGAGTGAGGCAGTTCTTGATTCCTTCAAATCGTGGCACGACAAAACCGCGCTCCACTAAAGTGCGCCTGGTTAAACCGCATCGCTGACATCATCAGCAGAGCGACAACAGCGACCGCGGGAAAAAAAGGGCGCTTTAAATAGCGCTTTGAAAGCAAGCCGATTCAAGTTAAGGTAAGGGGTTTAGGGTTAGGTTAAGGGTTAGGGTTAGGTTTAGTTTTAGGTTTAGGTTTAGGGTTAGGGTTAGGTTTAGGGTTAGGTTAAGGGTTAGGTTTAGGGTTAGGTTAAGGGTTAGGTTTAGGGTTAGGTTTAGGTTTAGGGGTTAATTTTAGCTTTAGCATTTACAGCGTGCTTTTTTCGTCGCGCTGTGATGACGTCAGCTATGCGGTTTCGTCGAGCGCGCTTTAGTCGAACGCGGTTTTGTGGTGGAACCCCTTCAAATAGGTTCTTAGAGAGAGAGAGACCCCGGCCCATCTAGCCCAGCAGTCTGTTCTCAAAATGGCCAATCAGCAGCACAAAGAAGCCCATTGGACTGATGAGCAAAGCGCTTTCATTGTCAGTCACTGCCCTCCTCCAAACTTCCATGAATGGATCTGACCTTTTTTTTTTGGGGGGGGGGGGAGCCAGCCTTGTTAGTAGTCAGTGCCACATCATCCTCTTTTAATAACCCCATAATCCCTTGTGGGGTTGAGTCTGGGCAACTGAATGGAGCTGGGTGTTTACTGGCCAGATGCCCTTCCTGTTGCCAGTGCGGAGTTTTATTCAGATACATTCTCATCATGGCCAGAGAGAGAAAACATCTGCCTCTACCTTGGATCGAACTCACAGCTATTGGGGCCTGTTTCAAACGCTTGTTCCATACTTAAATTCTGGGCTGGTTACTGAACTGTGAGCTTCAAGAACTCCACTAGTCAGACTTCCAGTCTTCTCCCAGAGCAGGAACGCTCTGCCACAGAGCGCAGCGACGTTTAATTTGCTGGAATTGATTGTCGAAGCCGGGTGGAGGCAGATTTGCCCAGGAAAGCACAGAACACCCTAATTTCAGCGGGGCAGCATGCGGCAGAGCTCCGAGAAGCCCAAGCCGCTTGATTTGTTTGATTTTAAGCCCATGTTGCTGCCTCAGCTAATTTTGGCGCGAATCACCATTTGGAGAACATTTCAAGCCACATTTCAAAATGGCGGCTGCCAGCAGCAGCGCAGACGTTGAGAGGCAAGAGCTCCGCCTCTAGGCCACCGCATCACTTGGTAATCAGTCCCACATCTCATGTGTCTAATGACTGAAAATGCCAGGGAAATATTCAGACATCAGGCTCCCTTAATACGTGTCTGTTATACCAGGGGTCCCAAACCTTTGCAGCTTAGCAGCCCAGCTGGGGGAGGAGAGGGGAGAGTCGAATCAGGCCATGTGAATGGTGGGCTGGCACTCACATGCATGAAACTGTGTGTGCACCACATGCCGGTCTGCCCTCCCGTGAATAGAATTGCACATGCGCATCGAGCCGTTTCTCACGTGGCCCAGTTCCAAATAGGCCACAGACTCCTGCGTTATACCCAAGAAAGATAGGGTTGTATATTTGTGTGTGATGCAACATTCAATAGTTTGGTGTGTTACATCTTCCCTACTTCAAGGCACAAAGCACATCAACAACATCACATCAGCATAAACACAAAGACCACTTTCCAAGTTTTACTACTGTCGCTGGGGGGGGGCGGGGAGTTCTTTCCAAACGCTCTTGCCAGAATCTCTTTCAATGTCTTCTTTGTTTTGTAACCTTTCAGAAGATTCTAAACTTGGCTGACTTTTAATTTTAGGAGTGATTACGTGAATGCTTTGGCCCATTATGAAAAAGGAATCACAGGCAACAATAAGGTATTCCACTCTTGGTGATGGCTTCCGGGTGGATATTCACATGTCTAATTATATTAATTTTATCATCTCAAATAATTTAAAAATTGATTGTGCCTTGGCTATATTACAAAACTTGGTCAACTGAGCTGTGAATATTGAAGCAGACTGTTAGATATTTACAAGTGCATAAAATCTTACGATTTCCGGATTATTATTTTTTTACGTAAACACTATTATCACCATTTGTCAAAGAAAATAAGTTTGTTCTTAATGTAGATTCAACTGTACTTCGTAACACTATTTTTACAAATAGCGATTTTTAGAATAATTATTTTGCTGAGGCTCTTTCCATGAGAAACAAAATAGTCTTTCTTTAGTACGTGTGTTTCAGAATTGGTGTTATTTACGTCCAGTGTGAACAAATGTACTTGAACCAATACAATTTTGAAGGTGAAGTAGAATATATAATTCTGAACAGAGTTAAGTGTTAATCTTTAATACAGGTAGTCCTTGAGCCCAACATTTCTGTTGCTCAGCGAGATGGTTCTTAAGTGAATTTTGTCCCATTTTACGACCGTTCTCACCACAGTTGTTAAGTGAATCCTTGCAGTTGTTAAATTAGTAACAGGGTTGTTAAGTGAATCTGACTTCCACGTTGAGTTTGCTTGCCCGAAGGTCGCAAAAGGGATCTCGCGACCTTAGGACGTTGCAACCGTCATAAACGTGAGTCAGATGTCAAGCATCGAAATGTAAATCACGTGACCGTGGGGGGGGGGGATGAGTCTGCAACGGTCATAAGTGTGAAAACTGGTCGCGAGTCACTTTTTTCAATCCCGTTGTAACGGTCATGAAACGCACTGTTGTAAGTCGAGGACTACCCGTATGGCTCTATATTTTACAGGACGTCTTTTTAAATGGTCCTTTTTGGCTTTGTTGCGATTTTTACATCTTTCTCTTGATTGCCAGTTCCAAGAACACGATGAGGCCTGCCTGGCCGGAGTCGCGCAGATGGCAATTCGCATGGGAGACATACGGCGTGGCGTTAACCAAGCCATCAAGCATCCTAGCCGAACGTTAAAAAAAGACTGCGGAGCTATTCTGGAGAGCATGAAAGTAAGTTCATAAAGGGTACCACAAATATTCCTCATCTTATCATTTTGGTTGCTAAGCAAAACAGTGAATTTTGCCCTAGTTTACACTATAGTGCCATAGTTTTTAAGTGAATCACAGCAGTTTTTTAGCCAGAAAAATGGTTGTTAAGTGAATCCAGCTTCCCCATTGATGGGGAAGTTTGCAAAAAGGGATCATGTGACTCCTGCAATCATCATAAATATGGGCCAGTTTCCAAACGCCCAAATTTTGATCCCGTGACTATGGGGATCCTGCAATTTGTTGTAAGTCAGAAAAACAGTCAAAAGTCACTTTTTTCAGTGCCGTTGTAACTCCAAATGGTTGCTAAATGAATTTCAAGTGGAGCACTACCTGTAGACCAGTGGGGNATCCATCCATCCATCCATCCATCCATCCATCTATCTATCTATCTATCTATCTATCTATCTATCTATATAAAAATATTCTTTGTGTGTGTGTGTATACATTATATATATACTGTATGTATGTATGTATGTATGTATGTATGTATAATATTTTAGGTGTGTGTTTGTATACATTATATATACATACATACACACACACATCTTGAAGGGTACCGTATATGTTTGCTATTCAGTACATTTTTCAGATTAAAAGTCTTTTACAAGTCACATATAGAGAACAAATGATACATTTACAATCATGGTTTATATTTTGATAAATTCATTTCTTACTATTATATTTGTTTACTCTCCCTTCCTTTCCTTCTCCCTAGACTGGCCTTATTCAATATTTTTACATTGAAGACTGGCAATACGTCAATAAGTATCAGCATTCAGTCGGTGTGAAAAAAATATTCCCAGATCCCAATGGAACTAAATTAGTTTTTGTGGATGCCAAAAGCGATGGGTTTGTTTACTGTCCTGTAAGTCATTCCATTTCCTTTGTCCTTATATATTTTCAGTTGGTTTCTACATGTATTGCACTCTTACCTCCCCACACCCCAGTAATTTCCTATGTGACTTTTACCAAATAATGTAAATTTGTTGACACTTTTTTCCCCCAATGAACTATGTACCTTCTTCCTCTAAATAGAACTGACCAATTATGGGATCAAGATTGCAGCTGAATTTCTATGTCAGCATTATACGAAAAGTTTGATAATGATTTCAATATTCCTGAAAAGACTTCAATGTTATCCCGATTTTTTTATACTTAAATAACAGTGCATTGTTTCTGTTCATAAAATAAAAGCTTTCTCTATTAAGAGAAAGGTTTTTTTATTTTATGACCAAGAATGTTTTTATATCAATAAAAACATCCTCTATGTCCTGATTTTGGATATTGATCTATAGAGCTAGTCCTTGACTTACTTCACTTAGTGATTGTTTCAAGTTACAACAGAACTAATAAAAGTGACCTGTGACCGTTTGTCACACTTACGACCGTTGCAGCATGCCTGTGGTCACGTGATCAAAATCTGGCCGCTTAACAACTGACTCGTATTTATGACAGTTGCAGCATCCTGTGGTCATGTGATCCCTTTTGCCACCTTCTGACATGCAAAATCAATGGGGAAGCCAGATTCACTTAACAACCATGGTACTAACTTTTAACAGCTGCAGTGATTCACTTAACAGCCGTGGCAAGAAAGGTCGTAAAATGGGTCAAAATTCACTTAACAATTGCCTCACTTAGCAACAAAAATTTAGGGGGCTCCCTTGTGATCATACCTCGAGGACTATCTATCTATTGGTCTGCATACATGCGAAATGGATATTAAGCATTTAATGATTCTTTCATGTTAAAGTATGTAGATGATGCATCGAAATGACCCTGATGTAATAGAGTTAAATATCATGGCTTTGGTTATAGGTTGGAATACAATTGATAAGGTTAAAATGCAATTTGGATAAAATATATCCTACAGATAATATAACTGCAGAACATGGAAATCCCCATTTGAGATTAACAATGGAAAGTGATAAGAATGTAAAATAAAGCAATCTTGGTTAATATCTGTGAACAATGTTGGTCTTCCTGTTGCCTTTGTGATCAGGATGCTTTTTTTGAGATAAACTGAGATTAATATTTTCCTAATTCTTTTAAGTGTGTGAACTCAGAAACAGGAGCTATACCCATCTCATTGCTCTAAAAGCCGTCACGTAGCACATACTTGAAACTTTTGTGGCCGGCTTTATTTACGAACTAATTTTGCCATGCTGTCTTTGCAGGTAACCGATACAGCCTTTGAAATTCCAAATTTGCAACCAACCACCAAAGGCATTCTGTGGGAAAACTGGCCCCTGGATAAGGGTGTATTTGTGGTCTATGACGATAACAAAATATACACTTATGTGTTTCATAAAGATACCATACAAGGTATTTCAGCTGCATTGTTATTTCCAAATGATCCTTAGAGTTTTATAGGGTAATATAAGGAAACAAGAAAGTACCAGAATTTCACAGCTTTAAGGATTGGGATTAGAAGAAAGACAAAAAGGTGCAGGAATGAGTGGGGGGGGGGGGAACCTCATATAATATGCTTGTTTGTGTATCTTGTTTAGCATAATAATGTTCTGTGCGACAGTGAAGAACTGTAGAATTTCTGATCTCGTTTATTTTGTTGTTTGGCATTCAGCAAAGTTAAAACAATAGATACAACAAATATTAATTTTATTAAACATTGTAAGGCAAAAATATATACAGTATAGTGTATCTGAGTGCACGCGGGCACACACACACACACGTGTATGTATATAATATATATGTGTGTATGTATATGCATACATATGTATATGTACGTATATAGGGCAATGCAGGGACACGGTGGCTCAGCAGCTAAGACATGAGCTTGTCAATCAGAACCGCTGTTTGGCGGTTCAAATCCCTAGCGCCGCGTAACAGAGTGAGCTCCCGTTACTTGTCCCAGCTTCTGCCAACCTAGCAGTTCCAAAGCAGGTAAAAAATGCAAGTAGAAAAATAGGAACCACCTTTGGTGGGAAGGGAACAGCGTTCCATGTGCCTTTGGTGTTTAGTCATGCCGGTCACATGACCACGGAGACATCTTCGGACAGCGCTGGCTCTTTGGCTTTGAAACGGAGATGAGCACCGTCCCTTAGAGTCGGGAACGACTAGCACATATTTGCAAGGTGAAGCTTTACCTTTACCTTTTATATAGGCAAAGAGCAACTGTTAATTACAGTGGAGCCAACTCAATAAGTTGCAAGTGGTATCTTTGTAAAAAAAGATAAGGATAACCTCACTTCAGAGGGAAGAATGTTCCATAAAGCAGGGGCCATTGCAAAAACAAAATTACTTATTAAGTAGGTATTATTTATTGGAGATGGGTTAGAGTGGTGCGGTGGCCTAGTGGTGGAGCTCTCGCCTCACAATCAGGAGACTGTGAGTTCGACCCTAGGTAGAGGCAGATATTTCTCTCTCTGGGCACAGTGAGAATAGATCTGCTGAACAAAACTCCGCATTGGTGACAGGAAGGGCATCTGGCCAGTAAACACTCTGCTAGCTGCAGTCAGTTGCCGAGACTCCATCCCGCAAGGGATTGTGTTAAACAAAGATGAAGATTTATTGGAGATGGCTTAAAGAGGGGGAGTGGAAATCATTTATAACCACTTGCTAGGAGCATGATGTAAAATCTGTGTCCCTCTGCTCTTAGAGCTTAAGGAAAAAGGGTTTGAACACAGTAGAATAACATCTGGCTACTTGTACTGAAGAATCCAAATTAAGACCTAAGCAATTCCATAATGCCTTCTGGTGGGCATTGTCACCTCTTTGAATGATTCACATATTATGCTAAACCAGAGCAGGGCATTTCACGACCGATGGGCCACATCTCGCCTTTTGACTGTCCCAACTGCGGTAGAAGGGGTGGCAGCAAGGGAGTGGCGGCTTCCCTCCATAACAGTCCCAGTTTCTCATAGGACTCCTTGGGAAAATTAATTGCTCACCCCCGTGCCAGACCACGGGGCTAGCTTTACACATTATTGTAAATCATGGTTTATAAACAACTACGAATGGACTCATGGCTATATAATTTTTAGCAACAGAGCAGCATTTATCAATTGGTGGTTTTCATTCCTGACTGATTCTTAGGCAATAAGGAATGTGTACATTATATGTGCATGTGTGTGCGTGTTTACCATAAAAACATTTTCAAATAAAAGCCAGAAAGTCCAGTTGCCTCTTGAAAAAGCATCTTTGGGTTTACGATAGAGTTTTGCAAAGACTAGTTGTAAGAAACTGAAAACAATGCTTTTTCTTCGGAATATAATCCTTTGGTGTCGAGGTCCAATTGCAAATTCTATTTCATTTTCTCTCCTAGGATCTAAGGTGGTCTTGGCAGGAACAACCAAAGTTCCTTATTCACACAAACCTCTGCTCTTATATAATGGAGAATTAACCTGTCAGACTCACAGTGGGAAAACCAACAGTATCCTCCTCAATACACATACTTTTCTGGGCACTCTAAAAGACCAGAGCTCCGATGAATTGAAACAAATGCTAAGCCAGACTTTACTTTTGAAAAGGTGAGTCGCCCCTTGATCGCAGCGTGGAATATTTTCAAACATACGGAGGCGGTTTCAGCCTCGTCGTTACGTTTTAATGTTGCCCGACCTAGGTTTGCCGAGGCTTGGGAGATATGCAAACATCTGAAC